CGACATGGGCCACAAAAGCTCCCGGTCTGTCATAGTCCTGATGGATGACCGCAGATGCACTGCATTAGGTCTGTGGTCTACAAAGTATCTGTCGCTGTAATGAGATCGTAAAAACATCCGATGACATGCGCGCTGCGAATGCAGACCATTCTTCAAAACAGCGCTGTCAGCAGAGCTGTCGCAGGCCGGCTACTAACAACATCGGCAACCTCTTACCGACGCGAACCGTCAGAACCGTCGACAAAGTCGCAATGCCAGACGCTGCCTCGTCGGTTTGAACCGGTTCAAACCGGCACCGATGATGCGAATGTTAGTGCATGGCGATGTCTGTTCAATTTCTGTTGACAGCTGTCTTCGCTTTACGCCACGATCAAAATTGGATCAGTCCTGCCCCTAGGAACTGACAACGTTGCGCTTTTCCCATTGCGAAACGCGAAAAACACGTCACGGTGTCCTGTTAGTCTCCAAATAAGTCGAACGGATTCACCGCTCAGTTTTTGACGACGGTTCACGGTGGACTGAAAGCAGATACCAACAGCGGTGGTACCTATATGTTCTATAACAACGGGCCACGGCCACAAGCTGAGGTTGGCGTGCAACAAGAGACCATTGCCCCTCGCCCTCCACGGCGTCAATCCTAGCGCCGTTTAATCGATGGCGCCCGTTCCGGTGCCTGCGGCGGCATTAGCGGCGCACCCACCGGCGTGCGGCGCGGCCAGGCGTCACGCCTCCGAATGCCGCGCGCCGCGCCGGTAATCGCTGCCGGCGAAACCCCGGCAAGCAATGTCGCTTACATGTTGTATGGTCTCCAAGCTCAAACGAGCGCATGACATGTCATAACATTCATCGCGCCACACTGTCCGCAACGGCATTGGTGTATAACGTTCACCGCTTACCCGTGGTTAAGTACTGGTTTGCTCACGCTAACCGAAATCAATGCTCTGAAGGTGGTGCAATGCTTGCCCATCGCTGGAGTTGATTTAGTGCACTGTGCGGCCTGCAGACGACCACAAACGTGGGACCAGTTTGTCCTGTGGTGCGAACTGCCGCTAGCCGGGCCGTGCAGGCTGCGACCGAGGCAACTGCTGCCGGTGTGTCGTTCGCTGAAGCCGGGTGGGTATGCTGCACGTCTCTTCCCTTCTCCCATCAGCGGCCCCGAACCTCACGGGACCGTCAAGGGGGCTGCCCCAGCCGCGGCATACCCACCACGCGAGTGTTGGCCGTGTGCACAACACGACATCGGAGCTGGAGGCAAAACAACCCAGCCGGGACTGACTGCGGTGCTGGGACTGGCTGCGGTGCTGTAACGCCATCCTCCCAGCCGACGACCTGCCACCGGCCCAGCCGCGGCTCGGGTGAACACGGCGTCCGACCACGCTTGGGCCCCAGAGCGTGCCAAGACCTGGCGCATGAGGAGAGAGCACGGACGAAGACGGAGACCTGACCCTGACACACGCCACACCCTACACCAGCGATGGAGAAGCCGAGTCCTCAGGAATGCAGCGGCGCCGTTCTCAGAGCCCCGCCGCCGCATCTCCGCATCGCGCCGCACGTGGGCGCTCAGGCTCGCGCCGGAACGCCCACCTGCAGCGGCGGCCCGACAGCCAGCGGCAGGTGTGGGCTCGGGAGACCGCAGCGGCGCCCGTCGAGCACGCTGCGCTGCGCCGTTCTCACGGCACGCTGTACGTCGGCGGAGACGCGGTGCGCTGCGGCCGCGTCGGGTTTGTCGCCGCCGGCAGGCGCCGCGGCAGCCCGCGCCAACCAGCCGGGCGGCGCGTTTTCACGGTTGGTTCGGCAATTGGGAGCGCTGGCGGCTCGGCCGCTCAAAGTCGGCGAAACTGTCTCTGCCGCCCCGTCGCGTGCAGGCCGACCGGCCTCACGCATGCCCCGCACCGTCGGGCCGAACTGTCCAATCCTCCCCCTCACGGACACGTCGGGCTGCCGCAGGCGAAGACGTGCGGCACCGGAAGGTGTCGCGATGGAACACGCAAGGGGATTGGCGGCGGGCAACGGACGGGGCGCCATGTGTGACGCATCCATATTTTAACAGCGGCACCCGGCCGACGCGGGCAAATATCGCGTGTTACCGTGTGGATGTGCACACAGACGTTCTTCCACTTTGAGGCATGTTGGATAATCGGCTCCTGAACGAAATCGATGCTGCTGTTCCAGGAGATCTGCCAGGTTATAAAGGAGATTACCGGTAGCGTTATCAAACACACTGCGAAAAGAACCTCCACCTGCATTGCCACACATTGATGTCAGCAACGTCTTGGCGTTTACCTCGCAGATGACACGTGGCAACAAGCCAGACATACCGGCTGACAAGTGAAAGCGCTCACATGCAGTGACTGATCCGCGTACCATGACAAAATTTATGCACGACTTCTCTGCTCAGCGAACATACTGTTTGCAATTTTCTTTTTTGGCGCTTGCGCTGCATCCGTTCAGGAAAGCGCGACGTCACAAGAACACGTGCTTACGCCGGCCGGTTTCACCCGGGTGTCAGTGTCGCCGAAAATCTCGGTGGCATTGCCTGCGGTTGTCTTGAGAAAGGCATTGTCAGGGATGTGTGGATGCCGCTCGCATGAAAACCGCGATTGCCAACAAGCTCATCAGCGCGTCTCTAGTTTCGTACTCGAGGTGGCCGTTAACGCTCGCCTCAGTGCCCGGGCGAGGCGGGCGAACCCGTCCCGATTAGCGACGAACTCTTCCGCAGCCTAGCCGCTGAAGCCAGCCCTAGGTGCCACCCGAGTTTCGGCTTAAGGATGGCACCCAAACCCTGTCCCTAGCCTGGCACCTCAGCGTCGGCCCTAGGCTGGCACTTAAGCCTCGGCCCTAGGCTGGCACCTCAGCGGCGGCCCTGCGCTGGCACTTAAGCCTCGGCCCTGGGCTGCCGACCGACGTCGGCCGCGTGGGGACTCCGGCGGCCGCCGCCCCATGTCGGCTCGGTATGCGGCACAGCGGCACTCTGCTCTGCGCGATCCGGCTGCGAGCCGAGATCGCGTCAGATGTAAACAACGCCGTCCGGCAGCCGGCCCGATCCAGTTTCATGCGGCGGCCGTGGCCGCGGCGATGCTGCCCGCGCGCCTCTGTCGTGCCGGACGGCGACAGCTGCCGGAGAAATGCTCTCGGGCCGAGCGGACGTCTGGCGGCGGGCTCTCTGTCCGGCAGACTGCGCGTCCAGCGGTCGCACCGCCGTCAGCCCCGTCACTGCAGGTCACTGGCCGGCGCCTGGCACCCGTTGTGCGCCACCTCGCCGGCTGCAGCGCCGATGTGTGTCAAGTCGACTGGCCAAGCCGGCGTGTCCGGCTCCAACTGGAGTTGTCTTCAAGCAGTGATCTACTAAACAGTACAGCGACACACCGGTGTCCAAGGCGCGCTGTTGCACGGCGGAAAATCGTTCATGCGGGGCTCAGTAAACACAGCCGTCCGGCTTGATGGGAACGCTGTTTGGCGCAAACAACTCGCCGCGGGCCGTAACAGGCCGGACGGTGACAGGACAGAACTGGAACGCAGCTGATTCAGAGGCGAACAATCCATCCAGTCGAATGGAACAACGCATGTGGTGACGGGGCGGAATGGCACAGCGGCCGGTTTGGCAACGACAATTAGCTGCCTGTCGCTCGGCCGGAGATGTGGACTGACGGTGCAATCACTGTCGGCACGGACGCCTAAGCCCCGGTCCGGCACATATTTAGCCGAGTGTGACACGGGAAACGGCGGACCACGGCCCTTGCCTCTGCGCTGCTGACTGGGTCACCAGACATGCTGGGCCTGTCCGCCTCCGCACCGAAGTGATGGTCCGGTTCATGTCCGCGCTCGCCCTCATGGCCGAACCCGAGCGCCACCCGCGCTCGCCCTCACTGCCGAACCTTAGCGCCAGCCGCGCTCTCCCTCATGGCCGAACCCGAGCGCCAGCCGCGGTTTCCCTCATGGCCGAACCCGAGTGCCAGCCGCGCTCTCCCTCATGGCCGAACCCGAGCGCCAGCCGCGCTTTCCCTCATGGCCGAACCCGAGTGCCAGCCGCGCTCTCCCTCATGGCCGAACCCGAGCGCCAGCCGCGCTTTCCCTCATGGCCGAACCCGAGTGCCAGCCGCGCTCTCCCTCATGGCCGAACCCGAGCGCCAGCCGCGCTTTCCCTCGTAGCCGAACCCGAGTGCCACCCGCGCTCGCCCCTATGGCCGAACCTTGGCCTCACCCGCGCTTGCCCCTATAGTCGAACCTTAGCGTCACCCGCGCTTGCCCCTATGGCCGAACCTTAGCGTCACCCGCGCTCGCCCCTGTGGCCGAACCTTAGCGTCACCCGCGCTTGCCCTTATGGCTGAGCCTGAGTGCCACTCGCGCTCTCCCTCATGGCCGAACCCGAGCGCCACAGTCGGCGAGCACTTGATCTCCGACACAACAGACATATTTTACACACGTCCGACGCGGCATATGTCGGACGCGCGTCACGTCTTCAGCTGCGCCCCGAGCTGAGCGCTAGCCTGACCTGACCGCTGACCGTTGGTGGGGATCAGGAGTGACAGAGGGATCGTGGGGGATCATGAGTGACGGAGCCCAGTGGGGATCAGGAGTAAAACAGTCGGGTGGGAATCAGGAGTGACACACTCCGGTGAAGCTCATGCCGCTCAGCTCAACGGAAGCCGGACTCATTATGCTAAGTGCTCTGTTCCGCACGTGTCTAAGTTTTTGTAGTAGTAACCGCTGACCGTACAAGTTGAATGAAGCCTGCCGTAAACTACATTTTATCAACCATCAGTTTGATTACATAGAAGTGATTGCAATCTTCTCCCTGGTTGGCCAGGTTGATTTGATTCGGATGACAAACAAGATCATTGGGAGCGGGCTATGTGTCGTGAAACGGACGTTTCAAAGTCAAAGTCCGTAACTTCGCCGTGAGAGGTGAGATTGCGCCACTCCGCGATTGCTGGTGACGTGGCACTCCCACAGGCGCATCCCCGTGACCTGTGCTCATGTCGGTGGTGTTTGCGTTGCAGGTTCACCGGTGTGGAACGGGAGGCGCGCTTCCTGAGCAACGTGAACACGCGGCAGATCCTGCAGGACCTGCTGGAGACGACCACCGAGGCGGTACCGCTGGAGAAGCTGCTGGAATTGCAGCCACTCATTGACACCTCGCCGGCCCTCTCCGAGAAGGAGGTCCTGAAGAGTGTCCAGAAGAACGTGCCCAACTTGCCAGTCGACTACTGGGAGGCCATGAAGGGAAAGGCCACGCAGAAGAACAAGACATGCGCCAAGTTACCTGCCGTCTACGACCTCAAGTTCAACAACCTCTACTGGCAGGTGCTGGAGACTAGCAACGGCACCTACAACTTCTACGCCGCCTACTACGACAATCGGACTACCCTGTCGATCCATCCGCTTGTGCGTATGATGGTGATGATCGATCGGCTGAAGCCGACGCTGAAGACCTACTGCCAGCTGTGGTTCAGCCGCAAGAACGATCCGGTTATTGTGCCCGTCATGGAGTACAAGTACGTATGGCACGAGAAGTGGGGCAACTTCAAGCAGGGCATCATCCAGCCATATCTAATGGCCTGTCAGATCCCCAAGAGTCACGCGCACCTGGTGCCTGAGGCGGTGACGCTGGTGGAGACGCCGTGCAAGACGTCGACGGTGGCGCTGCGCGTCATCAACAACCGTCCGCCAGCCGGCCAGCAGCGCCAGGACTTCGCCGTCTGCGTGAAGGGCCTGTCGTTCCCAGACCAGGACCTGTCCGTTCGTCTGGTGGAGTGGCTTGAGATGCTGCGGCTGCTCGGCGCGCGGAAGGTGTTCCTCTATGACCTTGAGGTGCACCCCAACATCTCCAAGGTGCTGCGACACTACCAGCAGGAAGGCCTGGTGGAGGTGACGCCTCTGACGCTGGCCGGCGAGCAGCCCAATATGTCACCGCTGCAGCGGCTCTACCTGCGCAAGAAGGTTACCAACAAGCGCCAGAGCGAGCTGGTGCCCTACAACGACTGCTTCTACCGCAACCTCTACATGTATGAGTACGTGGTGCTGCTGGACACGGACGAGATAATCATGCCGACCGCCTACGCCAGCTGGGCCGCCCTCATGAAGGCCATCGTGCCGCGCGCCAATATCGAGGCCAAGAAGAAAAAGAAGGAGATCGCCTCCTACAACGCACGCAACGTCTACTTCTTCGACGTGCAGGACCACGAGCACACCTGGCATCGCGACATCCCGCGCTACATGCACATGCTGCAGCACGTGCGGCGCAGCCGCAACTACACCAAGCCGGGCCACTACATCAAATGCTTCCACCGCACAGACCGGGTGATCGCGCTGCACAACCACTTCCCGCTGGCGTGTTTGGGCGGCTGTCTCTCCTACAGTATCAACACCTCGGAGGCGCAGCTGCAGCACTACCGGGCGGACTGCGTGGGCTCGCTTAAGAAGACATGTGAGAGCGAGTACAAGCGCAACGCCGTGCTCGACACATCCATCTGGCGCTACAAGGAGGAGCTGACAGCGCGCGCCACGCGCACCCTGGTCACTCTGGGCTTCCTGCCGCCGGAAGGCGGCAGGCTGGCCGAGTACTACCAGACGGGCCGCTCCGGCCAGGCGGCCGGCCGCGTCGAGCCGCTACTCGGCTCAGGTCGGCCGGCCGGGGCCGAGCGGCCGGAGCCCGGGGTGCGGTAGGAGCGCGCGGCCGCTAGTCAGCCCCTAACTCTCAACCAGCTGTGATGTGGTGGTGGCGCGGCCGGGGACACGCGCCGTGGACACGGCCAGAGGGCCCACGTGCCGCGCGGCCAAACGTAACGACGACGTGTGCTCAGTATTTGGGGTAGCGAGTAAGGTGAACCACGACCCTGACTCTGATATTCGGTTGACGGTTTAGAGCCCTGCCATGTACATTTGTGAAACGCTCCTCCCCGCCTCTGCGAGCTTGGCGGACGTGCCACTGGCTCCACAAGACGCCCCAGCCGACACCGACAGGCTCCAAGCTGTGGTCAGCTCCTCCCATCCGTACCAGACGCGGCGCCTCGGTGCCTCTGTGTGTTCAAACTCATCGACGTGCGTGCGCTCCGATCGCCGCCGCCCCCGAGTGTGCGCGCGTCCTTGTGTGCAGAGGCGGCCGCCGGGTGGGGACTGGCTGGCGGTGTGTCGGCCGCGGTCCCCGGAGACCGGCTCCGTCGTGTCTGTCCGCGCGCCCGCCGAGCCATCGGTGCCGAGCCGGTGCCGTGCGCCGTGCCAGGCACGGCGACTCTTGTTACGTACCGTCGACCGCGATGCCCCGCCGGATTCATCATTCATGGGGCTGCCGGCGGCGTGCGGCTCAGCGATGTGATCGTGGGCGCCGGGTGGGCGGTCCCGGGCCTGCGATCCGGGGTCCGCGGTCCCAGGAACCAGGGTCTGAGGTCCGTGGGACCGGGGCCTCCGATCCGTGGGACCAGGCTCTGCGGCCCAGACTCCGCTGTCGAATGTTTGGGGCCCGGGTCCCGGACTCTGGGCCCGCGATAAATGGCCCGGGATCAGTAGACCAAGACGATGGAGTGTCGCTACTGGGCTGGCCGCCGATCCCGACGGATGCCTGCGCCGTCGCCTTGCTGGAGACTGTGGGAAGGGAGGGGAGGGGTGGGAGTGAGGGCATGTTGTGATCACTTTTCCGGGCACTGTTATTCCTGCCTGTCTTGTGCCGGCGACACGACTGGAGGGGCGCCAGCCGTGGGTCACCCGGCCGCGCTGTGCTGCCGGTCGGCCACGGCCGCCAGCCCGAGTCGCACGTCCCTCAATCGTCACGGTGGCACACACTGGCTGATTGCATGGCCGATGACCGTGTAATAATACCAGGCTTTCAGTTTATTGTCTCGTGTTTAGCCAACGCCAAACATATCACGTCTGGGCACGGGGCGTGGCACTACCGACCCGAGCATTATCGTCGTGTGGATGTTTCCGCCCGACTATGGCGACAGTTGTGATACAGTGATTAGACGCGGCCGAGCTGTAGCACGGCGCGTCTCAGAAACTTGGAGGCCTGAAATGACGTCATCGCCGACTACGGCCGGAGGCGCTTCTGTGTATACATGACCTGGGTTTGGAATTATGCACGGCGTTTGCGCCGTGGTAATGTATCGCGACAATGTCACCGTAAGTGGTGGACGTTTTCAAGGAAGTTTACCATGCTCTAGATTTGAAATGTTCTAAAGCAGTTTAGAATATCCTACAGGCATGTGTGAACTCTGCAAATGGTTTTGCACTTCAAGAAACAATTACATGATATCTTCTCTGATCGCAGCGGCGTTTGTATCTTGAATTGATTAAGAGACAGCTGTAATTCATGAATGTATAGCTCGGATTGATGTGAGCTGTTTTTGTTGCATTTCATTGAGCATTTGTCCGGGGAAAACTCCTTTTACCTGACTGTATGGATTCGCAGTGTCATCTTGTGATCGTTTTGATTTATGGGTGGTCTTACCTGGCCGTGAATGATGCTTCAATAAATGTATGTCATGCGAATACGGCAAACACCTTTTGTTGAATGACATAGCAGATTTCTGACTGCTTGCGTGGTAGCCATGCTAGTGAAGACTGCGCTCGTGCGAGTCTTTCTCGCGAGTCCGCCAAAGAGAGATCTTGTCAAACACAGCTTGTATTTTCTGGTCACTTACACGCGCCAACACTCATACCAAAACGTTCACCGACGCAACATCAATGGCCCTACTTCTTCTAGCCCGGTGAGAGTGAGAGCATACACGGTCACCAATGGTAAGGTTTATATACTGTGCCCGTCAGAAGTGGTTCATGGTCACATGTGCCATTGTCTGCCGCCTTTGGTCTATTGCAAATCACTGACTGCGCAGCGCATGAGATTTGCGCAGCCTGAAATGAAGCCCACACGTGTAATGAAAGAGAAGAACAATCGCAATGAGGATGAATGTAGAGCAGTTTTTTTTGTTGAAGGGATTGGGGATAGCAAAAAGTCGTTTTGAGTCCAGTGCGTAGAAATTTGTGACGTTCCTTCCTTATTTCATTTTACTACCCCTGTTTGTCATGAATTATGTATGGCTCCGTTATAACTACAAAGTTCCCGGCGTGGGCGTGAAGTAGGCCATTTGGGAGGCAAGCACACAATAAAAGTGCTTCCAATCATGACGATGATTTGATCCCTGAGGTTGCAGCCATGAGGTCGATTCGCATCGATTTAGATGGGTCACTGCCTCCCCATGTCCGATTTGCCGTCCCCCCCCCCCTCCCGCTCTCACCCTTGGTGAGTTCGACCCCTACCTTCTGGAACTGAAGAACGAGCAGAACATTTGAAATGAGATCTTGAAGTGCATGCATTTAAAAGAACGTTAGTAAAAGATGTGTTACACACAAAGAGAACAAGGAAAACGCAAACGTTTGTCCGGTTAAGTGTAGCTGACCGATCCAATCACACTTTTGCAGCTCCGCGTTGCTATAGTTTTACTTATGTAGGCTTCGTTTTTTCTGCATGATGCGTTTTTCTCATTATAGGAAACAATTGTATTTTTGGTTCTGGTCTAATTTTGAGGTAAATCATTCAGCGATGTTATAGCTTTCCGAGCCTAAAACAATTTACGTCATTCTGCCATGATGCCGTATTAGTGCGATATCGGTGGACGAAAACAAAACAATCACGTCATAGCACCCCAAACAACGAATCCAACCGTCTGCGTTCCAAATAACGTTCGAACGTTTCGTTCGAAGTACTATTTCACTGTCTTTACTGTCTTGCCACTGTGTGTGACGACATAGTCTCTTGAGAATGGGATATGTATTATTAAAATACAAAGTATTCTTAAAATACCTTTCAGATGTTCACACAGAACTCACAGTGATCGTGCTGTAGTTTCCTATGAGGACCAGCATTCCACGAGCAAATCCTTCCGTTTGTCCGGGAACTCCTGGTACCAGCTTAGCTGCATAAAGCATCGTCTTAGGACCATCAACAGCAGTTTTGCACTTCGGATACTGCCACGTAAGTGGGAGATATCATTCTCGAGGTGCCTAAGCGAAATGAGAGGCTCCTGTTCGAGAGGCTTATAGCGCATTTTATATCACCTGCCCTAATGTCTCGAGCCGGCACGGGCTTGGCAGAAATCACTTCACTGAGACGGCAATCTCAGGCATTGCAGATAACCTACTTGGGCCATGGATGTCGGCCAGATAGCGTTGACGGGACTGCTTCAGCGAAAAGAAACATTACTCTATTTCTGGCGCTACTTGCTGCTGGAAGCACTGCAATTCCACGGCGCGTTACGCCCATGATGAACACCTCCATGGCGCGTCACGCCCATGATGAACCTTCCACGGTGCGTTACGCCCATGATGAACCCTCCACGGCGTGTTACGCCCACGATGAACTCTCCCCGGCGCGTTATGCCCATGATGAACCCATTGCTCGCAGTGTCGTTCACGACATGTAAAAGGCTACATGTTGAGCAGCGACGCTCTCCGCTCCTCCCCCGCCCAGTACCTGCAGTGTGAAGGAGGGGTCGGAGCGACGCTCGCCCCAATACCTGCGGTGTGTACGAGAGGTGGGAGCGACGCTCGCCCCAGTACCTGCGGTATGCGCGAGAGGTGGGAGCGACGCTCGCCTCAGTACCTGCGGCATGTGCGAGAGGTGGGAGCGACGCTCGCCCCAATACCTGCGGTGTGTACGAGAGGTGGGAACGACGCTCGCCCCAGTACCTGCGGTATGTGCGAGAGGTGGGAGCGACGCTCGCCCCAGCACCTGCGGTGTGTATGTGGGTTCGTCCATCGCATGGATCCCACTGATCCAGCTATTGAGTACCTTACAAAACGAACGTAATCGGCATGCTAGTACCGCATAGCTTATATGATGAGCGGATGACTGTTAAGTAGGTACAACTATTGGGATCTAGACGAACTTGCAGACGTCGCGGAGAAAGCACTTTAATTGTTGCTTTAAACAGGTTTGTATATAGCAGGTTTGTATACAGCGGAATGAACGGGAGCCTATCGAATACCCAGGTAATAACTGGCTCCTTGGAGGATGTCAGTGCCCCAAAAGCGTATCCCCAGGGTAGGTCCGCTTTGATGGTCCACTCATCACCGCAGTGAAGGAGACGCAATAACCTGAGTGTTATTTTTCATGAAATCCTGTCTTGGATATCACACCTTTATGCCATTGTGCAATGTGCACAGGGATCCTAGACGCGCTATAACATCGCTGCCATCTCTGGCTGTAAGGGGTCCCCTGCGTCATACGGGGCAGTAGCTATAGCACTGCCGAATGTGCTGTGCTGCATAACTGTTATATGTGCAGCAGGCGCTGCACAGGTGCTGCACGCGAAACCTACCACTTTTTGGTCAGTGCCAGCGAGCCTTTGAAGTACCACCATTGCACGTGCCGTCCGGGTGTAGTTGGGTTGGTTGTGGAGGGGTGAGCTCATTAAACACGGAGTATACATGCAAAACCGGATAGTCAACGTTGCTGCGAGCCTTCGTCTCTTCCAGGGTGTGCCGCGCTGACCTTGACCGGTCAGACTGGCCGGCCGGCTGCAGCCACCGCCGTCCAGTTGTCCACCCTTACCAGATATGATGTACCGGGAGGTATTGTGTCCTGCCTAGGAGCTGTGTGGTGCAGTTCCAAAACAGCAGCACGCGGAAGACTCCGCCATTCACAGTATGCCCAGGACTTCGGTCAGGGTCTTCATGTGCTCATCCTGCGCCCGGAAGCCGTACACGATCCCATCCAGATGTGCTGCGACATTCTGTAACCCTTTCAGAAAGACCTTCCCGACCCAGTTCCCGCTGGAAGATCTCAACAGCCGCATTGACACTGAACGGGCGCTTGGTGTGCGTCATAGGCTCCTGAACGGGCGCTTGGTGTGCGTCATAGGCTCCTGAACGGGCGCTTGGTGTGCGTCATAGGCTCCTGAACGGGCGCTTGGTGTGCGTCATAGGCTGCTGAACGGGCGCTTGGTGTGCGTCATAGGCTCCTGAACGGACGCTTGGTTTGCGTCATAGGCTCCTGAACGGGCGCTTGGTGTGCGTCATAGGCTGCTGAACGGGCGCTTGGTTTGCGTCATAGCCTCCTGAACGGGTGCTTGGTTTGCGTCATAGGCTGCTGAACAGGAGATAGGTGTGCGTCATAGGCTCCTAAACGGGCGCCCGGTGTGCGCCATGAACTTCTGAACGGGCGCTTGCTGTGCGTCATAGACTCCTTCCTGTTACTGATTGTGAGCGAATCCCTAGAGTCCTTATGGATGAGCATCAGGCTGTATACCTGCAACAGAAATATCTTTGAAAAAGGACTCGGCCGACGAGCTTGCGAGATATCATCAACCAGTGGCCACGGGCACTGCTCCGGCCTGACGACCCAATTGGCGGTCTGTCGGGCTAACTGGCACAGGTTCCAACTTCGCCATGCTTCGATGGCGCCCGGACTGGACGATGAGTGCTCCCAACTGGCTGCTCTGCACTGGATCCAAAATGCCAGCCACACATTCTTCTCCAGCACTTGCCCGGCCTCCTCGCCATTGATGTGCGACGAATACCTGAGCCCGGAGATGGTTGGGTGGAATATTGCGGCTCCTCTCGAGGTTCACCTCCACACCTTTCAGATCTTCCGTACGGGGTTCGATTACACGACCGTACTTTTGCTAGGCTCTCTTTAGGGACTGGTTGCAAGTGGCTTTCACCTCCTGCCAGTTAATCTGAATCGTATTCAGCCAGTCTCTTTTCAAGAGGCTGGCTGTCTCTTTTCGCCTGCTTCCGTCAACGACCAGGACCTTGAGATTTGCATGGATTTTGTGGTTGTATCTGACATGTGTCCTAAGCTCCCCACACACTCCATTGCATTCCCGTACATACGTTTGAAGTTTGAAACTGCACGGGTTCAATCACGGGCGGACTTTTGAAGATCTATAGGTGTCATCGCCGATCAACGTGCACTTTGATCCCGTTTAATCTCCATGGAAATTTTCACTCTCTGGAAATACGCTCGACACACAATAGGACGTGTACCTAGTTGATGGACAGTGTCTTTGGCGGCACCAAGTTCCTGGGTGCTGTTGATCGATGCGCTCGTCCAGATGGCTCAGTTCCCTTCATCCTCCGGCTCAGTGACGACGCTCGCCGGCTGGTGACGTTATCCCGCTCGGGTGCCGCATCCAGATTACATAGGGTCATCGATGGCAGTCTTGCATGTACAGAAGAGCGGGAGAGAGAGAGAGAGAGAGAGAGAGAGAGAGAGAGAGAAGAGAGAGAGAGAGAGATAGAGAGAGAAGAGAGAGAGAGAGAGAATAGAGGAGAGATCTCTCTCTCTCTCTCTCTCTCTCTCTCTCTTCTCTCTCTCTCTTCTCTCTCTCTCTCTCTCTCCTCTCTCTCTCATCTCTCTCTCTCGATCTCTCTC